TGTACAGCAATTGTTAGTATTTGGAAATCAAAGATTAAAATGATTTGTAGCAGGGTTATAATCATGAAAAGTCAGTGTAATAGGACACGATTACCGAAGTATTTAGTACATCGAAGACTTTAAGTGGGAGCCGAATCGTCACGCTAAAGTGTAATAAGAAAGCAAAGGTGCTCGAAATAGAACGTTCTAATATGATTTGGAATCTGTTTTAGATTGTTAATAAGTGTTTTAACACTATTAAAATAGTCTTTACTTACTTGGATACTGTTTTGGGGATTTTTTTTCTATACATTTGAAAACTACCGCTCATTTATTCCATTGAAGACTTTGAGCGGCTATCGCTCCCGGGGGGGGGGACTCCCTAATATCAAAGGGCGGGGGTCCTCGGCGTCCCTTTTAGGGTTTGAAATTAGTATTTTGGTCCCGCTTAGGGTGATCATGAAAAGAATTCCTACCAACTGTGTTTTGTGGCCATAAACTCAATACGAGCCGACGGTGTTCGATGATTGTGTAAAAACACAAATAAAATCGGTAAACCAAAACAAAATGACCTAGGACATTTATGTTGCTAGGTAGCTTCATTATAATAGTCGGTGCTATGTTTCTCTAGCAAAACTTTATTAAATTCAAAAAACTAAAAACACTAAGCTTTCGGACGGTCGTCCAAAACATCGAGATGAAAGAACGGGAAGAACAGCATATATACAAATCACTGAGAATGAATGGGTACCCATCTAAATTCCTAAGGGAGGAGAAGCAGAAAACGGATCAAAGATTACAGGATAGAGCAGAAGCAAATAGACAGAATGGGAAAGAGGAGGAAAATYGGCAGTCAATAATCTTACCGTATATTCAAGGTGTCTCCAATTGCCTAAAGCGGGTACTACAAAGATATAATTGCAAAGTGGTATTAAAACCTAATTCAACTCTAGGTAATCACCTCAGCAAACCAAAAGATCGCATCCCGTTGGAAAAGGAAACAGGCGTCGTGTATAGTATTCCATGCCGTGATTGTGACATTAAGAGTGGATGCCGGTAAGAATCAAACATTTTCAAAAAATCGTGCCAACTCTTGAAAAATCGATTTCGCTCATACTCTGAATTTAGGTACCCTATTATATAAGATAAACAACCATGTATTTGGTTTTTGAAAATAACGTTTTATTTATGAGTAAATTGAATTTTCGTGGAACGATGTAAATATGCCAATTTTCGAGCTATGAAATGGCGATAAACTGATGGCCTCGTTTGGTTAGTGCATCAATGTTTCATGCTTAAAACATTTATAAGATAAAAATATCACCCATTTTCTTTCATTTGGGCGAGTTTTAAACT